GATGATGGTGGAAAACACCGAAACGTTTTTTTAAATTGATAAATGAACAATAAATGACTGAAGAACCCAGGATTTGATTTTAATTTTGGAATTATTTAAATACCCACCGAAAATAATTAATACCACCGAAAAAAATAATTAATAATTAATAATAACAAATGGGTGGTATTGTAAAGTGTCCGTAAACGGCATTGTGAAGTCTTTCTCAATTCTACTTTGCATACTTTAAATATTATAAAAAATATAATTGGAAAAAGTTAATTTCTTTTCGGTTTTACAAAAACATAAAATTCAAGGCTGCTTAAATTCAATTATGTTTAAAACATAAGAAACCAGTCATAAACTAAAGTATTAACAATTAGGAAATCTTGCTGATATTCATTTAACTATGGAAAGTGCACTGGAAATATTAACTTTTAAAAACGGCAATATTAAGCGATACGGTGAAGTTCGCGCGTAATCTGACATGAAATATACTGATAACATTAATTTTTTTAAGGCGTTTTTAATTCTAAATAATTGTTTTTTGTTTTAAAAGTCGAAAAAATGCTGCTGGGCTTAATTCGAATAATATTCAAGGGTTTGGATATAAAATAAATGATAGGCAACTTCAATAAAGATCTACTAGTTAGTCAACAGGGTTTGCTCCATGCAGAAACAACTTCAATTCTTTTTCACGCCAGTGCAGAGATACATAAATACGAATTGATCTTCGTCAACTAACCGAACTGTTTTGAGGTTTAAACGCAAGTTGCCACACTGTATGTACAATTGCATTTGAAACTACTGAAATGCACAACTTTAGTAACATTTCAACAATCTACTACTAATGTCAAATGATGTTTTTCATGGACTGAATTACCGAATTAAGCTCAGATTGAAATAACATGATAGATGTGTTGATTAATTATCAATCATGTGACTATATCACAAAAAAAACATACCACTACAAGACAGTAAATTTGCTGGTTTGTTACATATAATGTATCCATAATTTATCCCACTTTTCACTGTTTGGATCTGGTTAATAGTCTCGCATAAACACAAAACACCGATTAAAAAAAAAATAAAAACACATGTATTTCAGTCATCTAGTTAGTGGTATACTGTCAAGTTTTTCAATACGATTGTACAGTTTATCAATAATTATTATCTGGGGGACCTTATCTTTGTAGCGGCATGCTGTCAAATTAGAGGTGATGCTTTTATTTACTTTCTCTGATGGGTTTCAATCTAATCGCAACAAGTATCCCCAGAATAATTGTGCGCTAGATCACGTATATTATATTATTAAAACATACAAGTGTATCGATCGCATCAGTTTTGATTTAAAAAAATGCCATTCAACTTAGCTCTACGTAAATCAATAATAATCTTGTATTTTGCGCGATGTAGTTTTTCATTTCGTATTTGATTGCTTTTTACCTAGTTCTGAGACCTGATTAACTTATAATTCTTTTAAATCCTTCCAATGCGACTCCTACAAATCCGTTACAGTTCGCTAACGCGCATATATTTTAATAAGGTTTTTCCGAAAAATAAACACAAAAACGTAACAAAAACATTCGCATCTCATTTGTGACCTGCATTATATACAGCTCCGTTTCGTAGTTCTGGATCGTTATTTATAGATTTTATGAGCTTACAAAAACGTACACAAACCTACGTAAATAATCAAATAATTAAAATAATCGATGCAGCTAAAGAAGGGTTTCCATGTGGTTGAGTCAGGTTTTGTTAGATTGGAAAACTCATAATATAACGTCGCTGCACGGCTAAAAAGATGTATAATAAATAATTTGCTTCATCAATATCAGGCTCATTTAATAAAAATTCAAGTCAACGGGAGGTTTGGCCTCTCTCTTTAAGTACAATTAACAAATCTGAAATACTTTTTAATCTAATTACTTTATTAAAATATATATAAATCTGTAAGTAAACATTATCTATAAACTTGAAAAATTACAATATTTGTTTTCAAATCCGCTGGAACTGAAGGAAAAATATGCTCGTCGTCTAAAGTAATGATTATACTTAGGTTAAGTAGTAATTTGCATGAAATTGTTCTTGGTTTTGTATACACAAAGAATCCATAATACATCAGATTTCTATAACGAAGACATTGTTCTTGGTAATTGATGATCCTGTGATTAAATTAACTAGCCTGGGTGAACGTACTTCGGCACACATGTCAAAGAAACTTATAGCTATCGGAGCTACAACAATGTTAAGATCGAAAACTGTCTATGTGGTCATAGTAAATTGATGTTACTTCTATTTTTGTTAGTAAAAATCCCAGCCTAAAAAAGTACAATCTGAGAGAAACAGCTCTGTACATTAATCCGTTACATGCTTTCGGTGGTTGGACTTAAAAACTAGCCGGAAGCTGTTGCAAGAGTTGACCAGTTGTACAGAGCATCTAACTTTCATTTACGTGACTGAAACTATCATCTATCTCATCCAACTGGCTGATCGCCTTATAACGATAAATGCATTTATAATTAATAGGAAGTAATGTGATACGAATCACGTCAGCAATAAAGATGATGGGAATAAAAAAATCGAGCGTTGAAAGCATTCATTATCCTCGAAAAAAATACAAATCAAAGTTGAAAATATAGCCATATCTAATACAACATAATAAGATCCGGAAAAAGCAATTAACCCTTTTTGCCAACAAAATTATCATTAATATAACATCACTAACCAATGCACGTACCGCATAAAATGTATGTTTAAAAATACCGAACGGTATGTAATGCGTTTTAAATTGAATGTTATTTATTATTTGCGATAATTTTAAATGAGTTAATCTGCATCGTGTTTTATGGTCTGACACTTAACTAAAAAGTTGTTAATTTGATGGGGCAGAGTTATTATAGATTCAAATACTTGGCTTAACCAACGAAACACCATGATTGAGAAAAGTTTATCATACACCCCTCGAATTATTTGAAAACATTCTCTTTCAGATCGAAAATTAGCTAAGAAGCTTAGAAGATATTAATGCACTTCAAAGCAAGAACCAATTCTTATGTGCAACACATTTTTAATGTACATTAAGGCCGCAATAGCTATGTCAGCTGTTCATACTTAAGGGATACTTCCCTAAACAAATATTTATTTACTACGACCCGTGCTAAAACCGTCACCAAATGGATTCGTAAAATCAGGACAAAATTTGGATTAAATGCAAACATTTCCTTTCGAAATACTCACATAACAATTACTAATAGATAAGATAATATTCGCTACGCATATTTTGGACACATTTTCACTTTAACTAAAGATATCAAGAGGAAAGATATGAATGTGCCATTTATAGAGTTAAATTAAATAAAAATATAGATTCAAGACTTGATAAAGCTTACATCCTAATGCTTGCACTTATAAGAGTGTTAACTATTCAGGATATGGGCTACTAGTATTTTATTATTATTTATTCTATTCAAGATGAATATCCTTGGTGCAATTTTTTTCCGACTTCCACTTGCTCTTCTTATGAATCACTCGTATATCTGTTCTCAAATCATCACTTAAATTTACATTTCTATCCGGCCATTTTTTACTACTGATTTCGTCGGAATTGCGCCAGAATGACACGTTTCTTTTAAGTGCGTTGATGTTAAAAGTCGTCTGAATAAAATGCACCGCTTCCTGTCTCCATAATTTTCCTACATCATATTTTTAAAAGCAGTATTGAATTTTTGCAGATGTTTGTTGTTTGAAAAACGGATTGCCTCCATTTAATGTACAAATCATTAATAGTGTTTGCAAGTGTTTCATACCTTCAAAACCCATAGCGAAATTAATATTTTAGTTTTTGACCCAGTAGATTAGTTAGATGGCGTTTTTAGACGTGACACAATTAAGTATTTTAAAACGATATTTTCATGTAAAACATAAATACATATAGTAGGTGTGACGTTTCTTCACCTTTTTTGGGCATTTTTTTATATTTACTGTATTGTACTGTGTTGCTCATTTTAAATAGTATTGTTCTGAGGAAGGTAATGATTTATTGACTGAATTAAGATAAATTGTTGCCTTGGAGATTCTGTTGTTCTGAGGAAGGTTATATAAATAGGCAAAACGACTTTTGCTATTTAGTTATTTAGTGGTCCTATTCCAAAAACTACACCCAACTAAAATTAAAATTCTTAATATGTTATAATCAGCAGGGTTCATCAGACAGCGAAAAGATTCTACACATCCATTGGCTTATCAATGGAATGATTAATGTAAAACAATATAATTGCAATAAATTAATTATTGTAATATTAATGTAACATATAGTTGTTTGTGCCCACATGGGTATGAAACTAGATTGTTGAATAATGTATCACACGTAATCACAGTTAACTGAAATAACATAGGAATATACGTGTTTTTGCTAATCGAGTTTCCAATAAAAATATATTGAATGATAGGCAACAAACCCAGCAATAATCAGAATAAGTAATAATATTAACTCACCGTGCAAAGACACTCAACTGCGCGATAAACATTTTAGCTTCCTGGAGCTACTAAAGCAACTGGTAAAGGTATAACAACAATTAAAAGCTTCAGATAATTAAAAGGCCACAAAAGCAACTTTTCACAGCGTGGCTGTTCTTAGCCAATTAAAATAAGCTTCATGTTTAAATATTGTTTTACAAATACTTTGTTCTTTCACACTTTCACTCAGAATCGGTGATGTGCAAACTCATCTTGTCTCTAGATGTTTTATTATACAGGATGACTCAATGGCCAGCAATTATCAAAACATATAACTGCCTTAAATTGGCAAAACTATGCTTAATTATTCAATTGCCCCAAACAAAACAAATAAGAAAAAAACATTAGTGAAGCCCACTTTACATATATAAAACGTTTCGCGTTACTTAACTTTAAGGTCATTCAAGGCCGATTTCGTGCAAGACCTAAGGCGCTTAGATATTTCTATTTTGAAAATCCGAGTGAAACTGCATACCATTCTTGTATCATGCTATTTATTACCAAAATCAAAGTATCTATTACTGGTTGCAAAGGTACATTCGAATCACATCTGATATCTAAAATTATAGTCTGTGTGTGTGCGTAAAGCCTTCTTCAGGCGGTTCCCTAGCAAATGAAATGATCGAGATTGAAATCGTTTGTAAAAGCGCGAATATACACAAATTACTGTCAAAATCGACACCACAAGATATATGCAAGCCTCACCTAGATGTGACAAAACTACATACATTTTACATTTGCTTGTAGCAACTATCACTAATAAATTAGTTATAGATATTAGCCACAACAGAACAACTAGCATAATTATGATCGATATATTTTCAAAGTCTCGGTTGAATAAAACTAATATATTTTTTATGTCACTCAGTCCATAATTACACTTAGAAAATTACTTTTCCGCCATTTCTGACGAAAATATAGCTGTCTACGGGTTAGTAGGTTACAGATTGTTGTAGAAATAATTAGTTTCGTGATTAGCAATTCGAAAAAATAATGCCTACGTCGATGGGTGGGCCTGCCTTCATTCAGATGTGCATCTGCATAAATAGGCATGGCCTACACATCTATCTCTTTTGCGATTTAGTACGCTTCCCAAGATTTCTTACAAGTCCGTTATATTTTACGGGTTAGTTGATACATTTTCATATTTTTCTAGACTTTCAAGCAAAAGCAACAAAGCGTCTATCAGATCAATTGTTGTAATTAATGTTGTGCGCTGTGCGATTTATTTACTGAATTGCAATCAGCCGTTAAATTTAATTTGACGAGACCATGTGAACTGATTAACTCTGTAATTAAATCAAACTCACTTTACTAGGTCATGGATTTATTGTCTTTGCTAGTATTGCAATAAAAACACAAAACAAATTTAATTAATTAGATATTTTGATAAGTTATAGCATACCTTGTACATCGGATGTCCACGAAATTAAATGTAAACCTTCAACCATGGCAGGGGCAATTTAGAACGTCAGCAATACGACAATAATATTTCGATGGAAAACAGAATATCGGCACTTTCATTCGTTGTTGTTTCAATAGACTTGTACAAAAGAACACAAAAAGTTTCGCTTCACACGAATGAAATAATAGGTTAAACTCACACGCAGCTTTGATCACTCACTATAAGGCTAATAAGCAGCAAAACTTAACAGCGCAAAAACACTAATTATAACAGGCCGATCTTTATGATAACCAAATCACTTACATGGAATATGTGTTAGAAAGAAACGGTTAAAATGCAATATTAAATATAAAACTGCTTGCGAAAACTCTTCAATTTGCAAAGGTGAAGTTTATAATTTTGTGGGTGGGTAGTTAATTACCTGAAGAAAAGTTCGACTCTTCGCTTATGGAAATATGCACGTCAAGCAAATGTAGCATTGATTTACAAGCTATTGGTTCACTAGATGTGGAGTTTTGAAAGATGGCGTGTGATTTTTCCTCAACTGGATACAAATAAGGAAATGTCGTAGAGTTAGTTAAGTAATACTTATAGCGCACTTAAAAGTTCAACAGTTGTCACGTTTAAAGTTTTTAACAAACTACAACAGAAAACAGCACTTTCAGCATTTACCGGTCTTCGGCCACTGAACTCAATAAAACGCTAACGGAACTAAAAAGCTCTCACTCCCCTAACCCTTGTTTCCCTTCAAATGACAAAACCTATCATTAAAATGTCATTACCGAGTGCATGCAAATCATTCTACTTCGATCGCTTACATTTTTATTTAGTCATTAAAGTGCTATATAAACCAACGATCTAGGGGGTAGGCAACTTGGCACTATTTTTACTCACTCTTCAGTTATCGCATCTAAATTTAATTCAAATAACTTAGAATTAAAAGAATACTGTAACTATTTAACATGTGTCCCCTTCTTTGCTTCTCAATAATGTCCGGATAAGACTAAGGATTAAAACAGTAAGCCTGTTTTGTTGCATCGTTTGTCTTCCATAGGAACTTGCCAAATTTGCACCAGAAGAGAATAGTCTAGTTCTATTTTAACTGCACTAAGCCATAACTGTGAACCAGCCATTAAAAATATAATGTTAAGTAATAAATGGTCATCATTTAAGAAACTAAACTAGCAATTTCATAAGTTTTTATATAATTGCTAGTTTAGTTGTTAGATTGCATTTCTTAGCTTAACTAACTAAGAGGATGGAACTCATTACGAATTTTCTATTACTAAAAACCTTGAAGTATCTCATTGCGTGACCTTTCAGATGAATTCCTGCTATTTCAAATTCAGTACTGATTGAACCTGATATTGTATAAGATTTTTAACAATTTGAGAGCGGTGGTGTCTTTTGCAATAAAGACGTAATTTCAAAGTTTTACTAATTTTCTGGCCTAAAGTCTAACATAACTTTGGTTTATTAGTATGTACTTTGAAATTACTATAATCAAGCAAAAGTTTTCTGTAAAATATTTCGCATATATTAAACAGCTTTTCTGTGTTTTTGTTTTAATTTAATTTAATTCAATCAAGCTATATTATTTTAAGTTTAGTGAAACGAGTTCATATTTTTTTGATATCTTGGTCGGTTAGCTATGACAAAATCCGTGACTGATTGCTGAAATATTTAGCATTGAGTGAAATAATCCATAACGACCGCTTTGCTAACGACAATGCACCGATTGCATTTAACAATGGAATTGTAATTCTTTGCGCCGGTACCATTCAGCACGTTCTTGGGCAATAATCAGTAGCATTAGAGATATTTTCCTGGAAACGTACGCAACTCGAAATAACCTGTATCGAATTGTCGACAACTTCTGTATCGCCAATTTAAAACGTTATTTAGTTTTCGCTATAAAGCTGATACCCTAAACAACAACAAAAGTTCTATACACCCGATTTGCGCTAAATTTATTTAAATTTTAAGCCACTTCTTGATGTAATGTAACAGTAAAATTGCCTGAAGCTTGTTATGGGTTTTAAGCACGGAAGCAATATTTATTGCTCATCAAACTAGATAACTAATATATCGCACGCATGTATTTTGAGTGCATTATTTAATTACAATAGACTTTCACTTTAAGTAAATTGATTTGTGATTATCGTTTTTGGTTAATATTTGATTATAACACTTCCTAAAATATAAGTACAAAGGCACCTAATGTCAAAATGTGTTTTGCACGTTTTGCTCTTTTCTGAAGAAAACTGCTCACTCTTGGCAACAATTTTCTAATTTGCATCGTTATGTTTAATGCATATCGCTTTTTGGCCTTATTGCATTGGCAACTAAGACTGAAACTATAGACTTTCAGCAAAAAAAAACAAAAGTACCTTTTCTTGTTATATTTTGACAGTTCTAAAGTGACAATCTTAATGTTTCGTCACATTTTACTAGCATTTAACTCTACATGTGCATTATTTAAAAGCGTTGGCCCCAAGGCCATAAAATGACTACAATATGTTTTAGAACACAGCAACAGAATGTAAATTATCTAAAATTAAACTTAAAAGAGCGATATTATAGATAAATGCAAACCATAAACTAGTCGTGTAGGAAAAGTGAATAGCTCATATCCGCTCGGTCTTGTATAGTGCAGAACATACACGGAAATGGTCGAGTTCGCCCGTTACCAACAAAATAGAGAAAGAAAAACAAACAAGGGATCTCAAAATTAAATCAGCGAAAAATTTATGGTTTCCGCAGTGATCGAACAACCTCCGCTGATACTATATTAAATAAAAAGTGTAACGGATGTCCGACCTAGCCTCAGGCCATCTATTTGAAAATTCAAAAATAAATGTAAGTTATTCTGAACTTTATATTAAACTCAAAGGTCGATTGGTTTACTTTGAGGAAATGGATGGTGATCAAGACATTCACCTTTCAACGTTTATCTAATTAGAACCGGAACATCTTTCAGTAAAACGGTTTTTTCACTTGTAAAAGTAAAACCTCTAAGGGCATACAATCGTGTTTTGGATCGCACTCGGAATTATTACTTTTAATGTAGTTAATATCAGTGAAAGTCCGCTGATTGTAATTTTATTTATTACAGTTACCTCCCTTTTCATAAATCATATCTTGCAAGCTGGAGACAGTTGAATTGAAAATTTGTCAAATGGATTTTTACGAATATTTCCATTCAACAAATACAATAGATCGTAAAGGTTACATTTTCTCTGAAATGATAGAAGGCGCTATATTATTCATTATTTAAATTAGCATTAAAAGTTCGAACATAACGTATCTAAAAATTTTTTCTAACACAACTGCTGTTTGTTGGTTACAAAGCCGTCTTGAAATGGAAAACAAAAAACTTTTATGAACTGTAATCTTGGTAATTTACCTCCAGCTGAGCGCAAGCAATATCAATTAGCTGATACAGTTATTTTTGAACAATCACATTTCCAATGATTTGATATTATGTATTTGCAATACCAAATAAAACTGTATCATAATTGCTATAAATACCTAGGTTTCATTTTGAACACAAACATAAGGTAACAATAGAAGTATGATTATTTTGATTGGCTTAAACGCGATTGCTAATCTTGGAGGAAAATATTAATAAGGATATCTCTCGGAATCGTGAAGAATATTAATGAGATTTGTTGCGCAACTGACAACAAATCTGAGGAGTGTTCGAAATACAAATTTTAGTCTTTGAAGATCATTTAATAATTACACACATCGGACAGAACGTTCTCTAAGAAAAAAGTCTAATTGCATGCTGCCAACGTCGAAGATAATGGAGCTGATAAATGTGATTTTTGGAACATACCACATAGGAAGAATTTATAATATCGCTAATAAATCAAGCGATAGTCTATTTAAAACCCGACAAATAAGGCTATCATGAATTTCTGTTTCAAGTATTTAAAAAAGAAACGACAGTGTACAAAAAAATAGATGTCAGATTTGTAGATGGAGAAGTCATAAACATAAACTAAAAGCATTTTAATAATAAGAAATATGGTCAGTATCACCCAAACTGGAATGGGTATTTTTAACAGCAGTACTTAAATACTATAAAAATGTTTGTAAACAATCCCAATAAATCAAATGAGAAAATTGTTATTAACTTTCCATCTATATAGAAATATATTATATAAATAATCTCAACGTATGCAAAAAAGTGCAATAGACTTTTTAACCTCGAACATGCAAAAACATTCGACCAAATGTCTTCATGTTCTACAGCTAGATATAAAAAGTCAAATTAGTCGTGTCCATGTACACGTTTATAAATAGGAAAAAATATCGTGTTTACTATTTCTATATTTACGTAAGCCGGCTTAACAGAAACCGTTTCCGTTTTATATTGGATTCAAGCCTATTTTAGTTTTCAATAACACCTAGCCGACCTTAAGCGTTTCTAAAACTAATCAAGAATTTCATACATGTCGTTGAATATCATATTCAAGTTTTTACCCCAAATTTATCTCAAAATAATAGAATAAATAAAGAACAAAAGCAGAAAATCGGAACGTAGGCATGTCCCGCAAGCAGGAATTAATTTTTGTAATTTTGTGAATTTTTACCCGGTATGAAATGAAAAACACAAAGTTTAGTTTTAAATCGAGGTAAATAGAACATATGTATGACTGTTCCAATCTAATTCGCAAACAAAGAAAGCATTTCTTAATTGGTAGAAAACGTTTGAACATATCAGCAAACCCCGTAAATATAAAATTTAATTCCTTGTTTACAGCTACTCAAGAAACGCCCATAAAAACATTCATGCTTAAAGGTTAATTGCCGAAGAAGTTTTGAAGGTGCCTTAATGGTTTTAATAATCTAGGTATCGCGCTCCAAACAACATTTCCTTACTCAAAATTAATCATGGTTTTTGCGAAAATTCGCCTTTCGTGTAGCAATATTTTTTGCAAGCTGACCCCGTTAACACTTATTCTATATTGGGAAAAACGTCAAAACTTTAATATGGTAATTTCTCATTTGAATACACATTTAGAAGGCGCTATGGGTAACGGAACCGTTTATGGGTCTTCTAAAATCACCAAAAAGAGAGTTAATTACGTCTAATAATGTGAAGGCAAGATCTTTCGTCATTTTGAAGATTAAAAATCAAAATTTGAAAGTGTTATTAGTAGTAAAATTGTATATTAAAACATAATATAGCATAAAACGAATGTTAAACTTCGAAAAAAATGTAAATTGCGGGAAAGGTTAATGAAAGCTCGATCACGTAGCACCTATTACAAAGCGCACCATTTCTCATAGTTTATGTTACCGAACGAACTGCATTAACATAACAAAAATCTATTCAGATGCAATTTCTCAAAGCAGAAATAAGGATAGTTTATTTTCCTAGACAGTTCATAAATTTCTGGTTTAGATCCCAAGCAAGCGTTTACACAAAATAATTGACGTTTCAGTTGTTTGCTTTGCATAGAAAATACATTACATGTTTGTCCACTGATCCTACTACAATTGTGTTTTAATTTAAACGCTGAAATTTTATTACTGAGTGTGATTCTTTAGCAACTTTACCTTTTTTACAAGTAAATGCGACCGAAAATTATTCTTAAGAGTTGCATGTCATCTGACAGACCGTAGAGAAATTTTATATAATTGCATGTAAATTTCGCCAGTGACCTGAGTAAGGTGGCCATTATGAGGAAAAATTGACAGGTATAAATTATAGAAAGTTGAATTCGTGTTAAGGGTTTTAAGGCGCTTTCAGATGTTCGTAACATTTTGGCCTTTTCATACTCATTATCAAGAATAATCACGACATGAGTTGGTGAAACACTGTCCAATATCAAAGAAAGCTGGCCTTCCACTATTTTTTATTATAACGCAATGTCGTCTTACAGTTTAAGATCGTAAATGTTGAAGAAATAATGATATCGTTCCTATAAAAATGACAATGATTTTTCAATGGCCAATAAAGTGACAAATTCAAACGCAACCACACCGGCGATTGTTATTAATATGAAAGGAACCAGGCAAAATTTATACGATCACGCCAATATAAGGAGAACTGAACACAGAACATCATTATTCAATACAAACAGAAATATATCAACAGAAAAATAGACATTCTCAAGAACAATATTATAATTGGTTACAAACCAGAAAAATTCCAAATCGCAAGCTTTCTCTACTTTTAACTTATTTTATTCTTTCAAACCTGTGACTAACAGGTGACATGAAGTCTTTAAACATTTCTACCGTCAGAGTCCTTAAAAGTAAGAATTTCAATGACGACGTATTGACTATGAAGATCTAATTTTTGAGCCTTATTAAGAAAAAACGCAACATATCAACCAACCTCAGTTTTGTTTATATTTTGGTAACTACCAATATTATTTTTGTTAGAAACTGGTAAGTTTTTCGGACTTTTAAGCGTCGCGGCAAAGAACTTCCAGTTTTGTTTGTTAATTATCATTTTCCAAGTTTATTTAATGCGTCATTTTTTTAACATGATCCCAGATATAACAACATTTCTGAAATCATTAATAAGTAATAAATAACATGTTTTAATTTTTGTAACGTTCTTCTCATTTTCCTATTTTTCGCAGAGTCGCATTAACATGGTCAGCTTAATGTACTAAATAAGTTATAGATAGTACAAAATAATACATTTTAAAAGTATAAATGAAAAATAAATGTCAGATTGAAAAAAAAACAACTTAAATGGTGATTTTTAAACAATGGATTCGGGGACAAGGGAAATTCTACAAGTTGGTCACCAACTGCATCATATTTCATAATAAAACTGATCACTCCTCAAATAATGTTCAAAATTGTTATTTTAAATCTACTGGGTTTGGGCTTGTTGTAGTGCGCTGATGACGATAAAACTAATATAAAAACTTGAACCCTAATAACAATAATCAACATCGTAACAATAAGGCATGGAATTTATAAATGTGAAGTACGGAAATACATGCACGCACATAGGAAGTAGGTGGTACCAGTCCATAAATAAAAGCGTCGGTAGTCTGTAAAACACATGCACAAAATGTTTTACTTTGAAAGTCAAGTCAGGTCTAAAAATTCTATTATAATGTTATCGGTTGTATTTTTGTTTGAGTCCATGTTCAACACGAGTACAATAATTTATTAATTTGCAGATAACGAGAACAAACGGGAAGTTATCTGACATTAGGTAATGATAGTTTGGGGCACCACCATCTGTAATAACGCAAAAGAAGCATTGGCAACAAGCCGTGAATGGAGAGTTTAAAAATGAATTGCTGTTTTTGTGTATGTATGCTTCAAGGGAATTGTTCACAAATAACCGATAGAAAATGCAACTTTCCGTATATTAATTTTCTATAATGTTAATATTTTAAAATCGCTAACGGTGAAACGAAAACGAAATTAAATTACCCAGATTATCCAATAAGAATAAATATCATTATTAAATATAATATAGGCGCGTGAGACTATACCCATAAACACACTTATCGTTGCGTTCAGATCATTTGAAGATAAATGTTCCTAGATTTCCTGCCTTCTATACTTTTCATGCTTTCTAATCGAATTTCGTGTTGTCATACACTGGAACACTTTCATTTTCGAACGTGATTGGTTAAAATTGCTCAACTAACATTTGATATTTAATTAGATTCTTTTAATTGTTAGTAAAAGTCTGGTAGAATATTTTAAATCATGAAAGACCAGACATAATAATATGAAGTAATTATCAACTTAAAAAATGTGTTTGCCAAACCGTTTCCACCAATTAACTTACGAAGTTAGAACCTATACTAATACCAATACTTAATATAATTTAATTGATTATCAATTATACTCGAGTTTGCACTATAAAACATAGCAAATCTAACACTTAGCTTTACTAGCAGTAATATGCAATTAATATTATATCAATCTATGCTTCCGCCTGTTCTGCTAAATACTTAACCACATCCAACTATATTTGACATGGAATGATCATTTGCAGCCCTCAAAGAGTAGAAATAGCAATACTCACCCTAAAGTTTTGTCTTTTGGATAGTGACTCCAGGTAGCATTGCCATTCCAGAGATCTTAAGAACAGAAGATGCCATCTGCGCTCAAGACCATTGGCGATGCGTCGTGCGTTTGCAGTGTTGCATTTCGCATCTGGTCTTTTGCACAATTTCACAACCGTGCCTACTATCTTTCCGTGATTTTCAATGTCACGGTGCAGCACCTGGAATAAGAAGAAAAAATATATAAACAAATTGAATGAACATTGTTAGGGTGACGCTACTTTACACAAGTTAAACATTTAAGCTGAATAATGAGATGATAGAACAGGCAATCTCCTAGTTACACTTTGAGCGAATTATTGTACTATCGCTTTTTCCCGAACATGAGAAAGTAAATAAATCCTATATATGATGAGCTAATATTACAAAACGTACACAACTTCTTAGCGAAAAGCCGGAACTAGGGCACATCTATTGACGGTTTGCACAAAATGTGAATACTTCATAATATTTATAACTAGCCCGAACCTAAATCAATGTCTTAAAGCAAAAAATGTTTACATATGCACGGAATACTAACAAACAGATTGTCATGAGATATTCAATTAGTGGATTCCTTTGGTGTCATCTATATTTGGATTTTGTATATTTTCATTTCCGCATAGATTCAGAAAATCATATTAAACAACATAACTCGTCAAGGCTACAAATTGAAGTTTTTAAGTTGAATACTAATGTACGTAAGTCGGTTCGGGGGTAATTTCAGGGTAAAAACAAGTGATTGCTTATTTTATTTATTAGGTAGATCAAAGATCAGTTTTTGATATTTAATGCTCACATTTTCACAAAGTACTACTAAAATTCCCAATCAGTGCTAATAACATGTTCATTACGCAATACAACACAGAAGTAAATCTGCAAACAAAAGCAATTGCTTATATAAAACCCCCATAGCGAACCGAACAGTTGAACAAATAAATATTACTCATTTCAATTAAAGACTCCATTTTCCATTAGCAGTTTCGTTTCCGAATATTGTAGATCACTGTTTATAGGCCTTGCCTGGCGATTTTCTACAGGCAAATGTAATTCGTATACATATGTGGTAGCTAATTTGTTGCTTAAGTTCTCGATTTAGTAAGTTGGTTTTTAAATTGTCTCCAGAGAAAAAATAGCGCGGCGTAAGGTCAATATTCCACCAAGCTCACTAATAATAGTCTAAAGTAGTACAGAGCTAGAAGGTCAACATACTAGCGAACTATTTTAACATAGCAACAATTGCAGAAATGTAAATTGAATAATTAAGTTATGTATCTGTTTAGTAGTAATTATTTGAAAACATATGCATTACAAGAACTTCAATCCTACTGAATCAGATTGCCTAAAACAAACATTGCAAAACCATTAATGGAAGTCTAGTCATATTTATTTAAAATAGGAGATTCAGGGACGTAAACTAGTAGTTTATGAAATGTGAAGCTTCCCATAGTATCAAGCCAGGAATATGAGAAAGGGTTTCAAAGAACATTCTCTGCCGGCGCTTTTCAGGGTGATTGTTCCATTAATAAAACGAAAGCCAGAAAAATATTCTAGAGAAAAATGGTTTGATGACAAAAGTTTAAAGATATTTTGTTAAATAATTTAAGTAATTGATGAACATCAGAATGGAGTCTTACTTGCCCAATCTATATAAAAATATTTACAATCCACAACAATTTTGCAGATTTTTGCAACAGGCAGATAATAAGGTGTTTTAGGAAAACATAAGAGTTAAATAAATAAGCAATGTCACAAAGGAATCGTGAAAGCAAGTGCTTCTTTATTATGTTCTAACAACACAACCCTAATGACAACCCTAACAACACAACAGGTTACTGAACCGTAATTATCACAATTGCTATAACAATTTTTCAGGTGCTAATTGCAATAGTCTCAGCAGATGTTCGTGCGTTTTTTTTTCATAATTATACTTGTTTTACATATAATAGATAATTGATGATGAAATAAAATTACTAATCTATAGGAATAGCCAATTAACTTCACACGAACATTTTATGCATAACGTAATTCTATAAAATTATTAAAATCAAAATGATTAAACTCCAGTACCCATTCTAAAGCGATAAGAGCCAGTTGTCTTCAGCAACAATTATTCATTTTCCATAATGGCTGTTTATAATTAAATACAAATTAATAATTGCAATGACCGAGACATTTAATTATAATAACGTATGACACTTCAGACTCGATCGCCTTATTACTTAGATGGTCTCAATTAGGGCCTAGTTTCTAAGTTCGCCAACTGTAAGAGCAATTAATTATCCTCAGCTGGGGCGACTTCAGAATTCAGGTCATCTATTTTCGCTACGAATTCGATACAAAAAGCAAAATAGTCTGTCTAAATCAATGTGAAAAATATTCCAAAAATTCGACAGTTCTTAGGATTCCAAATATCTATTTATAAAACACGTATACTTTAAGTGGAGCAAAAGGGCATTTTTTATAATAATCACAACTTGACGATGAAAATATAAGCAAGCTTTGGAACAATTTACTGCTACTATTTGTGCATTATATAGTTTGGAGTTAATACTTACAATAGGTTTCCGAATGGGAACACGTTTAGGAAATTAGTAATTTCGGTACTTTTTTCTGAACGCGCAAATAACAAAAAAGTAAGCTATTCCAAGCGACTTTCTTGCTAATTGCTAGACCCCATGAATACGTTCTATTTATACAGTACAATCTGTTTCATTCACCTAGACAACTAATTTATTTTTATTGTTCAACACTTCTCATCCATTTTAACTGATCAGCGGCGTATGTTCAAAACTAATTTTCAATAGGTGTTAATTAAATGCAAAACAATGTACCGAATAGATAACCAAAAACCACAATAGCTCATTATACCAACAACTTGATTCGATCCCGCTTTTGCAACGTTACTGTTACCAGGGCAAATATAAATGTTTTCATTGGCAATCTTCACTAAATATGGCTGATAATTTCACCAGTTAATAATGAATCAAGAGATACATACATAAATGTATAGCGAGTACGCGAGTATTAAGTTTGTTAATTCGTTATCTTGACATAAAGTTGAAAGTTGTTAAAATTGACTTCAACTGAATTAAACTTTTTAGTTGTTTTTATTATCACAATACTGATAGAACTCTCCAAGTATGCCCACGCCCACACTAAGTACTAGTGCGGTAAACATATTATTGAATTCTTTTTAATAAAGTAGATCGATTCGATTTGGGATAAACGCTTATTTCTCAACTAATTACGACAATGAAGTGATAAAATAACATAGAGATATTGAGAATCTTCAATAGAGATTTGCAGATACGTTTTGTTGATGGTTCTATTAGCTTACTACAGCTCGTCTTAATGTCAAACAACTTACAGTTACTTATAGTTTTATTATTATAATTAATTATTTTTCATTATAGTTATATTATATTATTAGTTGTTAATAAAGCATTCTATTAAAAATGCAACTTCCTGCGTTCTTGCGTGGAAGATGCGAATTTTTGAGTAAGCGAGCGCATTTGACTAGTGGACAACATCAATTATGTGAGTCACATTTACAAAGCCGAGAAAATCAGGTTCCAATGGATTTTTATAAAATTTTCAACATCGATAGGGCCAAGCGTCCGCTAAAGATGGTAAAAATGCAACTTCCTGCCTGCTTGAATGTGGGGGGTGCGAATTTTTGAGTAAGCGAGAGCAGTTGACTGACAACATTGATTTTGAGAGTCACATTAACAAAACCGGCAAAAATCAAGTTCTGTATGAATTTTTATGAAACTTTCCACATCGATCAGGCACATTATCCACTAAAAATGACAAAAGATTAAACTTCCTGTCGGCTTTAGTGTGGGAGCTATGCATTTTTCAGTAAGCGAGCGCACATATTTATTTTCCAAAAAATCCGGTTCAAGACTTCTAAACAATTTTCAATAAAATATTGTTATTTTCTTGTCCAACGCTTTTGCCTAAAGTATAAAAATTTTAAATATTTCCCCACATTTACATCCGTGTGGCGTTTACATAAAGTGTGAAAATTCGAAATATTTTTGGCTGAAAAATTGGATATCCGGCCTTCGGATTTTCCCCTGACACCAGTTTTAAGAGAAAAATAAGTTTCAGATAAAACGAAAATAAGAATTTTTTTTATTAAACAAAATGCAATGGGTCATCAATTTTTCGTCAAAAACCCTTCAAAAACCGTCCAGAACGCATTTAGAGGAAAAGGAAACCACAAGGTTAACAAATGTCACTTTGACAGGTTTAGTTTCTCGAAAAAATTACAAAAAATCAAAGAAATTTCAACTTTTTGAACCTCTTTGAATAAAACAGAAAAATTACTAGAAAAAAACGTCAGAAAATGTAACTTTTGGACGCATTCAAAAGGTGAATAATTTAGCACTTTCTCGCATTACCGATGCCTCTCAGAATTCAACTATTTAAATCATTTTGTGTATGTTAAAAACATCAAACAGATGAGTTGCTGCTATTTTTAATAATTCTGCTATCTGAAAAATGAGCAAAGTGTACGAACGTATTTAAAATGCAGAAATAATTCGTCTCTGTGGCAGTATAAGAATAATTTTTAACTTAAAATTTAATTTGGTATGAGAAAAGAGGATTGGTCGTCAGATTATTTAAGATTATGTAAGTACTTAAATCGAATACATTCACCAATGTTTGCAACAATATTTCATGCTTTTCAAATTCGCTTCTTAGAAGAGCATTCCCAATCCAAGCAAATTAAGAGCGACAAATTATAATTTCCAACTAACAAATAGTTACTTTCAAAATTTGCTGGCATCACTTTCATCGAAAATACACAATATGTATCGTAGAAGCGTATGACACGCTAAAAAACAAGCATGAAGAAACTGAAGTACTTTAGTGTAGTGATGTAACCAATTAAGACCAAACGGTAACAAAGAAAGCAAACACATTTTCAAGACTGTACCTTGAAAGTACTGTTATGGAAAAATATCGAAAACCAATTTTGACATTAACAAGCCGTTCGAAAATAACACACAAAAGGCGTAACTGGCTATAAAGAGAAAACAATGATTTCAACAATGTTGCTTTGTGGTAGAGTTATTGTGTTATCTTGTAGTTGAACGAATGATCGAATTCCAGCAAACGGAGCCGCTCTATGCCACACTTTTATATCAAATTCTTTGCCGGTTCATTTCAC